GGGAAAACTGGTGGGGTGGAGATGGTGGTGTGCTGAATTGGGCGATTGGGATTGACATGTATACACTGATGTGTATAAAATTGATGACTAATAAGAACCTACAGTATGAAAAAACAAACAAACAAAAAAACAACTAATACTAAATTATCTTTGGGTTATTTGTATGGAAATATGTTAATATAAATGTTTCAGACAATACATGAAATTTCTAAAAATCTTATTTGTTCTGATATAATAAGTCTTAATTCTAGTTATTACATTAAAATGCATATCTCAGAAATAACTAAATTTCCTTGACAAGGAAAGATATATTGACCATTACATTATTATGAACTTTCATGAATTCTTTAACCGTGGTCATTTTTAAGTCTTTTGGCATTTACAGACAGTTCTGGGTGTATTCTGATGCTTTTGCAAGAATGTTCCTATAAAAGGGACAAGGAATTCATGGAAAAGACTCTTGACAAGTACAGGTGTCTGTTAACTGACTATACTGCTGAACTGCATGAATAAGCATTTTCAGAACTCTAATGGAAAACAGATGAATTCATAAAAGTGCTAACAAAAGATGAAGATGAAAAAGAAATTAATTACATGGGACTGAGTGAACTGATGAGGATGATTACAATTTTTGTGACTTTCTGGGTTTTTTTGTTTTTGTTTTTGTTTTTGTTTTTGCGGTACGTGGACCTCTCACTTTTGTGGCTTCTCCCGTTGAGGAGTACAGGCTCCAGACGCGCAGGCTCAGCTGCCATGGCTCACGGGCCTAGCCGCTCTGCGGCATGTGGGATCTTTCCGGACCGGGGCACGAACCTGTGTCCCCTGCATCGGCAGGCGGACGCTCAACCACTGCGCCACCAGGGAAGCCCTGTGACTTTCTGTTTGAATAAAAAAAAAAATCCCACAAGGACTCAAGAGGCAAAAAATATACAAATCAATTTTCACTGCAAAGTAAAGGAGCTGTTACAGTGGAGGATTACTGGACTGAATGTTAATATTATGACATAGTATGAGTGTGTTTCATGTTTGGTAATTGCAATCATTGTTGCTTTTGTTGTGGTCATCCATTTATAATGCTTGGTGTCAGTTTATCTCTTGTAAAAATAAAACACAGTGTGTGTGTGTGTGTGTGTGTGTGTGTGTGAAAATAAAAAGACAAAATAAATTAATTTTTTAAAAAGTTATAAATATGTTGAAGAATTTTAAAAGAAAAACAAACAAACACAATGAGCATGGAACTCGAAGATATATAAAAATATCAGTTGGAATTTTGGAGCTAATAATTATAATATCAGAAATGAAAAATTCGTTGGAAGCGTTAAATAGCAAATTAGCAGAAGGAAAAAACAGGGATCTTGAAAAACAACAATAGAAACTATCCAACTGAAACACTAGAAAAAAAAAGGCTAAAGGAAAAACAACCCCAATTTTTAAAGTGGGCAAAAGACTTGAATAGACATTTCTCCAAAGATGTACAAATGGCCAGTAAGTACAAGAAAAGATGCTCAGCATCACTAACCATGAGGGAACTGCAAATCACAATGACAAGAAGACACTATCTCACACCTGTTAAGGATGGATACTATCAGGGGAAAAAGAAAGAAATAACAAGTATAGACGAGAATGCAGAGAAATTGGAAGCCTTGTACACTGTTGGTAGGTGTGTAAAATGGTGCAGCTGCTATGGAAACAGTATGAAGGCTCCTTTAAAAATTAAAAATAGAATTATCATAGGATCTAGCAATTCCTTTAGGAATTTAAATCAGGGACTCAAAGTTATATATATACATATATATATCTTTGATATATATGTTCCAGTGATCCCACTCCTGGGCATAGATCTGGACAAAACTATAACTCAAAAAGATACATGCACCCCAATGTTCATAACAGCACTATTTACAACAGCCAAGACATGGAAGCAACCTAAGTGTGCATCAGCAGGTGAATGGTAGCAATAGGTGAAGAAGATGTGGTATATATATACAGTGGAATATTACTCAGCCATAAAAAAGAACAAACTAATGCCATTTTCAGCAACATGGATGAACCTAGAGATTATCATACTAAGTGAAGTAAGTCAGGCTGAGAAAAACAAATATCATATGATATCGCTTATAAAGGGAATCTAAAAAAATGACACAAATGAACTTATTTACAAAACAGAAATAGACTCACAGACATGGAAAACAATATTAAGGTTACCAAGGGGAAAGGGGGGAGGGATAAATTAGGAGTTTAGGATTGAAATATACACACTACTATATATAAAATAAATAACCAACAAGGACCTACTGTACAACACAGGGAACTATACTCAATATCTTGTAATAACCTATAATGGAAAAGAATCTAAAAAAGAAAAAATATATATATATAGATCACTTTGCTGTACACCTGAAACTAACACAACATGGTAAATCAACTGTATTTCAATAAAAATTTTTTTAAATAAAAATTGAAAAAAATTCTAAATTTTCTGTTTAGTGTATTTTACCACAATTAAAAAAAAATTAAATGGTTAAAAAATAATGAAGAGACTCTCAGGAAACTATGGGATAATATCAAGTTGTTAACATTCATAATATTCATATCATCAAAGTCCCAGAATAGAGAAGAAATAAAGACTTTTCAGACATACCAAAGCTGAAAGAATTCATCACTAGCAAACCCAGAGTAAAAGAAATGTTAAAAGAAGTCCTCCAGGCAGAAGGAAATTGATACCTGATGATACCTGATGAAAATATGAGATCATAAATAATAAATATATAATATTTTTCTTTTTACTTAAATGTCTTTAAAAGATAGGTGACTAGCTTATACAAAAGTAATGACAATATATTGTGGGGTTTATGATACATACAAATAAAATGAATGACAACAATAGCATAAAGGCTGAGAGGGAAGAATGGAGGTAAACTGTTGTAAGGTTTTTATATTATACATGAAGTGGTATATTTATCAGTTTAAGGTAGACCACTATGAATTAAAGATGTATACCATAAACCCTAAAGTCAGAAAACAAAGAGATGCACAGCAATGATAACCAGAACAATAATAACGAGAAGTGGCAAAAGACTCATATCCAGAATATATAAAGAACTACAAATAAATAAGAAAAAGGTAGTACTAAGAAGCAAAAGACTTGAAATCCAAATGGACCATTGTAAAAATGTTCTCAAACTCAACATTAATTAAGGAAAAGCTAGCGAAAATCATAAAGAGATGCCACTACAAACCAACTAGAATGGCTAAATTTAAAAATTAAAACTGACAGTGTCAGCGAAGATGTGGAGCACAGGGAGCTAGTTATACTGCTGTGGAGTGCAAAATGATACAAATAATGAAAAAGATAGTTGGTACCATCTACAAAGTTGAAGATACATATACTACGACCTAATAGTGTCACTCCTAGACACATAACTTAGAGAAGAGGGCACATGTACACCAAAAAACATATAAAAGTATGTTTGTAGCAGCAAAAGTTGGAAACTGGTAACAACTCAAACTTCCATCAACAGTAGATGGACAAGTGAACTATGCTGTATCACACAGAAGACTATGCAGCAATGAAAATGAGTGAAGTATAGGTTTTCATAGCAGTACACATTAATCTCACAAAAGATGCTGAGCAAAAGAATATATGTGTGATGAATCCATTTAAGTAAGGTTAAAAAACAAGTAAAACATATTTGGGCAATAAAATGATAAAGAAAAGCAGGGAAAAGATAAAGCCAGGATTTGGGGGTTAGGGAGGGCTTCTGGAAAGCTAGTGCCATTCTATATACCTTGATCTGGAGGGTTGAAACATAGGTGTTTGCTTTAAAATTTACATTTATAATACATTGATATATACTTTTCATATATTAAAACTAGACAAAAATTGAAAGAAAATCAATATATGATTGAGAAAAAAAAATCTAACTTCGTTTATTTGGTTGCCTACTTTCCCCAACATTACTTATTAAACCATCTATATGTGATTACAATTTAATATATTCCATTCTTACTTGCACTTGAGATTTGGTAACTGTTGTTATCAACAATAGTTTTTGGCAAGGATGAATGGACTTTTGCGAGGGGTGGGTAAAGGGGAGGGATAGTAAAAGTGTGAATAAAAAAGCAGGAGTGGGAGATAGTCATCCTCATGGGATTTGTTTTTAAATAGGAAAATTCTAGAGACAGAACTGAAAAGAAAGAGGAAGTCTGTGAGAGGCTTGCCAAGTCAGAGAGCAAAGTGTCACCTGATAAAAGGACTTATGAATGAGCTCAGAGCAAAACTATTTGGAGGAAATCTAAAGAGGACATGCCTGCAGGATGGAGGTTGGTTATAGCCTCCATAGGGTACAGCCTCCATCTATACCACGTAGACGGTAACATAAAGTTTGCTGAATATTCTCAAATATTTGACATATTGCTATTTTAAAATGTTTATTGCTCATTTTTCTTACTTTAAACATAGTATTTATTTTTTATTTTTTAACATCTTTATTGTAGTATAATTGCCCTACAGTGGTGTGTTAGTTTCTGCTTTATAACAAAGTGAATCAGCTATACATATACATATGTCCCCATATCTCTTCCCTCTTGCGTCTCCCTCCCTCCCACCCTCCCCATCCCACCCCTCCAGGTGGTCACAAAGCACGGCGCTGATCTCCCTGTGCTATGCGGCTGCGAGTGGCATGGACATATATACACTACCAAACGTAAAATAGATAGCTAGTGGTAAACATAGCATTTATTGATGGAAGAAAATTACAGAAAAATACGTAGTGCCACATTTTGTCCAACCTTGACAGCGGGATTCATTCCCTTTTTAGCGCACAATGAAGGACTGGCCGGAGCAGCCCCAGGGCCGGCATGAAGGGCTGCGGTTGATTTGGAAGTGGGGCACGGACCAGCCAGCCTTCCCTCCACAGTGCAAAGCCAGCAACCCTCCTGTCTAGGCGGATTCTCCCTAGGCTGCAGGGCGGGACTGAGAGGTGCGAGGGCTCCTTTAGATGCCAGGCCCTTTCCCGGGAGCCCCGCCTAGGCCCCGCCCCGCCCCGGCCGCAGCCCCGCCCCGGCCCCGCCCGCGCGCCTTGCAGCGCGCCCACACTCAGAGCCCGAGCTGCGGTCGCTCATCTGACCCGAGCCACAGCGGCCGGAGATGCAGCGGGGTGCCGCGCTGTGCCTGCGCCTGTGGCTCTGCCTCGGACTGCTCGACTGCGAGCTTGGTGAGCCCTCCGCCGGCCCCAGTGTACAGCTGGCCACGAGGGGGGACGTTTTCCCTGGGCAAATGGTGGGACCTCACCGATGGGAGACGGGCGGGGGACAGGGCCCGCGGGACACTCCGGCACGAGACAGGGTTGGGAACCAGGGATTCAGACACCGGAAGGAGCACGGCGAGTCGGGCCGGGCTTGCCGGGATGAGGGAAGGGTGGGGACGGGGCGCGGGGCTGCACCGCAGCTTAGAGGTGGTGCTCAGTCCCCGACTGCGCTCCAAAGTCTGTGGCTCAGCTCCCTTGGACCTGGGCCCCTTCGCGCTGCACCCTCAGCCTGGATCCTTCGCTTGCTTACACGCTTTCCCGCGGAGTTCAGGAACCGTACTGTTCTGTCCTCGAGCCCGAGAGCACTGGGGATTGTACCCCCGCGCAGAGGCTGCAATCCCCGTCGGGTCGTAGACCTGGGTGCGTACTTCCCGACACCTCTAGTCTGCGCTCGAGATCGGTCCTCCAGAGGGAACTCTGGTTGGTGTCTACCTTCCCCAGGCCAAGGACTGCGGGGGCAGGGGCTCGGGATCGTGGGAGATAGCCGCCGTGTGGCGGATTGGGCGCAGGTGTCTGTTGGAACTTGAGGAGAATCTTGAGTCGGCAACTCGTAAGTGATCAGCATGGCAGAAGAGGCAGAAGGCCGGCCCTCGCCGTGTTTGAGGGGTAGGACCCTGGAAGACCAATCTAAGGATCTTGGATCATAAGGCAGGGGCCGACAAGGACAGGTCTTAAACACAGGAGAGGCAAGGTCTGGTTTGTGATGGGAACATGACTGGAGGTTGTTGCTGAGGGATTGGAGGGAAGAGAGTGTGGGGGATGAGGGAGGGAGCAGAGGGGTATGGTTGTTCGGAGATGTCAGGATAAAGCAGCAAGAATGAGGGGAGGATGAGCTGGAAGCCCATGCAAGATCTGGTGACCCCTGGAAATCAGAGGGTGGAGGAGGGGTAATGGGTCCCCAGTGGTTGAGGGAGGAGTTCTGGGAGGTCTGAAGGGAGAGATGGGGACCTCGCTATTTTTAAACACATTGAATAGTGGCTTTACATGCTTCATTTCTTTTAATCCTCACAAGGGAGTGTTAGACCTGTTTTACAGATGGGAACACTTAGACCAAGGACACTTATAACTTCCCCCAAAGTCCCCGGGAAGCCAGTAGTAAAGGAAATGGTCAACCCAGGTCTTTGGAAAAACAGAGCTCTGTTCTCTGTGCCTATATGGGCTGAAGAGCTGGGGATAGTGAAGGTGAGGAAGGTGTGGGTGAACCTAGGGGGAGGAGGAGGGAGGAAGACATCTATCTGGCCTCCAAGTCAGGGCGTCTGAGCAGAGGGGCTGCCACTTGGCCCTTCCTCGCTCCCCTGCACCCTGCCCAGGACCAGGCTTTCACAGGTGCTCAGCATGTGTTAAGTGACTGAATGAGTGTGGGGAAAGAGTTGAAT